ATAATAATAATAATAATAATAATAATAATAATAATGATAATAATAATAGTAATAATTGTAGTAATAATAATAATACGTCTTCTTATACTAACACGAATAGAAGCAAATACAGCAGTCGTCCACTCTCATTATCTTGAAGACTTATAATTATGATAGTATCATTTTCTAATTTTCTTTTTTATTAAAAAGAATAGCAGAAGACAAAGATCTCGATTTTTAGTAATCGTTAACTGAAGAAATGATAATTAACAACGATATAGAAATTAGTACAATGAATCCCTTAAGAGCAACCTGCCTCTTACATAATAGTTGATAGTAACTTTTGGTTTAGATTAAGTGTACATGTTGTTCTAGAGGGATTGCAATACTGCATCAGATGGAAAAATGATTTGTTTCTATTATACCTAAACACGGGACCATGAATTTCAAGTACCTAATTGCCAACAGATTATCTTAGATAGTGCCTGAGGGTACTACTACTATGATTAATCAGAATAAAATTAGATCATTTATTAGATCTTAAGAACATGAGTCCTTAAGAATTAAAATTAAAATCTAATTTTTCCCGTGTTTCAAAAGTCCTCAGAAACAACTACACGCCCGAAATGGGTCTTTTGGCAACCCTGTTACTGTCAGTGAACATAATCATAATGATTTCATTAACCTGTTAACTGGAAAAAATTTAATTACTAATATGCATTGTTACACTTTAATCTTTAAAAAATAAACTAAATTATTCATTAAAAATATGTATATATGTTTAAAAAACAAAATGAATGAAATGTCCAAAAGAATATTATAATAAAACGAACCAGTTAACAGATTAATAGTAACGAGAAGGTGACATAATCTTACTCTTGGCGTACTCTGAGCCTATATAACCGACTCATTTAATCCAGCTTCACGATCCCCGCCTCCATGTGTGTATGTGAATGTGTTGACGAAGGTACAGACAGACAGACAGACAGACAGACAGACAGACAGTTTAGGCTGTTCCTCGCGTACGTACGTACGCTACCTGAAAGGAGGAAGGACTACTTTTTGCTACGCTTACAGAGTACACAGCAGCGTACAACGCCCTGTGATACCTATTTTGCTACCTTCCACATGTTCGATTGGTCCTGGCGTGACCCCCAAGCTCAGTAACGTGTGTCCTTTTGACTTCTTTCGGTGTCTGGACGCTCTCTTGGACGGCGCTGTTGTTCTTGTTGTTCATTTTGTTTGCTTTCTTTTTTGAACAGATGCAACTTTAGAATTCATCACATAATGGGAGCTATTTGCCCTTTACTCAGGGGCTGTGAGTAAGTCCTAGGCTAGTTCCCGTTTGCTCTTCGGATCTGTGTAGAACTTAGATTCACTTCCATTGCTCATATTTAACGAGTGTTGGTGAAAATGCCTACTCAGCAGGTATACCACCGCTTCATACGTTGCCATTATGATTGCTGTATTTGGGATTTGCCTGATCAGATGTGTACCAAGACCGCGATATAAACCATGTAACCCTTCTTCAGCGTAGACAGTGCTCAACGTTTGCCAGAAAGTCTGGTATTTAGTACCTTCCTCTCTAAGTCTCGTTCTTGCTACTTCTGAAACAATTAAAATAATTTTAATTAATATTTTAGTTTAATCATATGAAGGGTATTATGGAATATAAAATTATTGATTTTTAGTTTTCGTTATTAAGATAAAGTAAGGTTTGAAAGCATTAAAGCTACAGAGCAACTAGTTCTTTAGTGCAGAGAAAAGTCACACACATAGTAAAGATGAGTCATATTGGTGCGCAAAATGTTTGTAAGAATTAGGATTTTTACGAATAAGGAAGTTTGCACAAATTGGTGTTTTACTCTTGAATCACAGCCAAATCGCTAAACAATGTCTTAAAAAAATAGAGGATAACTGAGTGAGAAAATAGAAACCGATATTGTGTGGTAATACACAATTGCACAGTCGATCCTTACCATGGGGGTAAGCGATGGTAGAAGCGATCGTTTTTGAAAACGACCCCGCCGCCATAAATTCTAAGAAATCGCGTAATGTTTTGCGATTGTTTGTGCCAGTAGTTTTGTATGCTGCTAAAGAAGCTTTCACAGCCTCGTAGATCACAAAATGTATCACAGTCTCGCTTATTCCTATGTAAGAGGCCATAATGCCTTTGTAGAATCCTAGGATACCCTGAAAAGATAACATAGTTTCTTAACTTGGTTTTTATTAACTACCTAAAGTTATTGTAATCTTAGCTTCCTATTAAAAAATATTTGATGTGCAATATCGCTTTTAGTTTCGAATAACCTAAAAAACCGGAACTGTCAATAGTGTAAGTTATAGCTACGTAAACAAATAATTTTTTATTTTTGAATTAATGAGTTTATAATATGAATCAGAGTCTATCCAATGTATATATTCTTACATATTACGGTCAATTTGTGGGCAAAACAAGTGCTGAGTTTCACTATGTGTATACAAATAAACACAAATATCACGAATTTAAATTGAAATATTCGACACGATACATATATCTATCTGCTCAATCGCATTGTTCAAACTGTTAAAAGATTAGGATACATGTTTACCTCCAATAAAGAAATAATCTAAAAAGCGTGTACTGGAGATATTTACTTTTAGAGATAAAGAAGACATCAATTTTCGAGAATGACTGATAAGCTCATATGATTTATGATCGAATTATGAGATTAATCTTTCTTGGGAAGCCCTCATTCATAACATTTTTTAAACTGCTTATCTCTTGTTTTTGATTCACAAGTACATATATGATAATGGAAGTTTCAGTTTTCAGTGAACCAAAGTATTAATTTATCCTAAGAAAAACTTCAAAATAATAAATTATTGTATATTTCTAATTATATTAAAAATTATTGGAAAATTTTATATCATATATTTTAACTTAAAAGCATTAACCTCTATGTCATAAATACTTTTTAAAATATTGATTTTCTTGCTTACGTAACTGATTCTCTGACGATCGATATATAGTGCAAGTAAAACGAGACTGACAAATATGTAGGTAGAATGATAAAAATGGGCACAAAAAAGTCGACATGAAAAGACGTGCGTAATGAATGGAGCTTCTAGCATAAAAATTTTGATACCTAATCAATCTTATCGTTATATGCACACATATGTTGCGTGATCACAAGAGAAAAACGAAAATGTTGATATAATTGCTTGGTAACTGGAGGACTAAATGTTACACCATAGAAATTTCTGATTACATTATACGCTACATTTTCAGAACTATTATGTATAAAAAAATTATTTTTTCACTCGGCAAGTTCTACGGCAACACATTACTAAAACAATGAATTTTAATAATAATAAATGTTTTCAATATTGTTAAAGTCTGTTGGAACAGAGTTTCTTGTGAGCACGTAATAAGTAATTCAGTAACTTGTTGAAATTTATTACTTTGACTAGAAACTTCGTGTACAATTTTATCAATTTTCGTTTACATAATGATCGCTTCAGTTTTTTCCGTGAATGAAGAAGGGCAAGATTGACGCAACCAAGGCGCCAGTAACGAAAAGTTTGGCACGATGTAAAATAACCTAAGAAGTCATCTCCGATAAATAACAATGTTGTTTTCTCATCTACAAGATATTTCGGCGCATTTTAACTATTCGTAGGTCACAAGGACAATTTTAGAACTGATTTTGCTGCAATTACGATGCCAATGCAATATCTGTAGAATAAAATCAAAATGATACTTAAAGGAAACCTAAATATATTTTGAATAAATTTTGTTATGATAATAATTCTTCGGAGAACTACTGTTTAAATTATTTCATGATTTTAAATAATAATTTACAATTTTAACATTACAAGAACTATATCGACAATGTTGTAGACTCAAATATTTTGGCAGTCAATTTCTATGCATGTACGAATGTAAAAATATCCTTGGCTGCAGAACCAACATGTCCACTGTATATTGTAATAATTACAACATAACTGTTGATTTTCGTCTGATAAAGTTTGAGATTTCGCTCTTTCCAAGTTTTCCTTATAAATTGTATCGAAAACTTCTTTAATATAAATAAATAAATAAATAAATAAATAAATAAATATAAATATATATAATAAAATAAGGATTCCGTATGTTTTGATATTCATTACATCTTATTTACACGTTCGGTATCAAGAACACCACAAACTTATTCCTGCTCTCTGAATCATAAAAGGAATGTATATTCTCAAATTTATTCTTCTTCTTTTTTTTTTTAAACTAAAATAAAATTAATACATATTTCTCTTTCCAGAGCTTGGAATGCCTTAGAACTTGTCAGCCTCTGAGTAGTACAGAGGATACTTCAATAATGAATGAAGATTCAGGACACACTCGACTACAAACCATGATTTTGTGTATCTAACTATACAGATTATAAAAACTTAATGATACGTTACTGATCTTGTGGCATGGTATAATGGATTAAAAAAATCGTTCGAGATGTTGGCTATAATATGTCTCATGGAACAAGAAAATTCTTTCCTTAGAAATGAATTTTCGTACCGATTGGCGATATATCCTTTCCATACACTCCTTCGTAGTGATTTTGTTTGTTCGATGGTCCAGCTGTAGCCTGGTCTTCACAAACCAAATAGGATTTGTCAACGTGCATGCCACGAAACCTGAAAAATGAATGCATGTGTTTTTAATCCGATTGGTAAATGGGAGGCGGACGGTGACCGTCTGAGCCCTATTCAAGGCTAGTTCCCTAAAGCTTGTTCCTGAGAGATGATTGTTGAAAAATTAATCTTCCAATCCAATACTACTTAACGAAAGTTACCAAAGATAACCAGAGATCTTCAATGTAGAGTTAAGATTACTAAAAGAAGTTTCTAAAATTACGATTTTTGCATTTACACAATGCCTTAGCCTAATAATATAATATTTAATATAAGAGAGTTTATTGGAGAATAAAATAGCAAATTTTAGTACTGTAAAGCTGTTTAATTTTTTCAAAATGGTCGTCACAGTGTTTATTTCATTAAACAACAAAAAATCAATTCTAGAAATATTGGAACGACTGTGACCACAGATAACTCAACCTTGTACCGGCAACGGTAATTCAATAGCAGTTGCGCCATTCATCTAGCAAACAACAAACAGGTACGAGCCAAGAAATGAATAGCTGGATGAATCTTTTTTCGTGATTCCAAATCTAGCCAGCCGCTGGCAGAAATTCTCTGATCGATCTTCCGATTCCTGTAAACATGCCAACTTCTAAATTTATCGTACTTGCAACAGACGATCTTGTTAAATCGACAATAAAACTCGATGAAGTCAGAAACGAATTTATTTGTTCGATATTCACGATTAGATCGAAGTGAACAAATGAATTTATATTCATTTCACATATTCCTAACCTTTCTGGAAGCCGTACTGGCCTCACCACGAAGATGCCCCAAATAAGAAAAGGCGATAAATTACCTAGCATGACCTTGTATGAAGCTTTACCAGAAAATCAAACCAATATTTTTGATCTAGTAGTTAACAAGAAAGCCATCATCTTTGGAGTACCTGGAGCATACGTTCCTGGTTGTTCTAGAGTTCACCTAAGAGGTTTTATTGAAAAGTAGAATCTCCAATTGTACATTTTAATCTTCATAAAAGCTTTTGAATACTGAAGAATAAGTTTTAGCTTTAAATTGAATTTATAATATTAATAATACTTTAATTTAATTTTAGTACTATTATAGTTTAAATAGTTTGCTTGAATGACTTGCTTTTTAATTGGATGGTTTAGGTCAACTGATCTGAAGCTTCTAGGCTTTCAGGAAATAATCTGTGTGGCTGTGAATGATCCATTCGTGATGTCTGCCTGGGGAAATGCCAAAGGAGCAAATGATAAGGTAGTGACGTCAACGAATATAATGGACTTCTTAATATTCCTAGAAGTATTATCTTTGAAACTAAAACATAATTCTTATTTTTATATTTAACAAAATCGGCTTTTACGAGGTATAATATAAAATGAAAAATAAATTTAAATTTAGGTACGAATGCTAGCAGATCCCACGGGATTATATACAAAGACTATTGGAATGGATACAAACATTCCGGAATTGGGAGGAACCAGGAGTAGAAGGTATTCCATGACTACTGTGAATGGTATTGTGAAGGAGTTATTCGTAGATGCATCCAATGTAAAACTTACGTGTCTACAGACAGATGGCGTTTCTACATATTGTATTTAATGTATTGGGTCTAGGAATAACAGTATATATAATTCAATATATTAAAACATTTTGCTGTTCGATGGTCTTCAAGCTTTTTAATTCTAAAACTGAAAAGTTTAAAAATTCAAATTTAAAAAATTTTCAAAAATTCAAGAATTAAAAAATGTTGCAATACAAAAAATTTCAAATTTTTTTTAAATTTGTTTACTATCTTTAAAAAACTATAAAATTTTTCAAAATTTCATATTTCAAGTCACCCATTAGATATTGCATTCATCTTGCAACCAACAGAACGAAGTTGCATATGTACTGAAGGTTAACATAAATGCCCATCATAAAGATTGTCATTGGTTGCCTAAAATAAGCTTTAAACGTGCAGTACTTAGAGCATGTGGTGCGCAGCACGCGTGTTTCAATGGAGACACGCAATTGGAAGTTTCCCTCGTGTGTTTCTACACATTGTCGTAAGTGTAACGTAAGTCCATCGTAAACACGCATTCCCTTGTCTATTTTAGTCTCGCAGCGTTACGAATCAAAACACGCAAGATTGCACGTGACGAGTGGCGTGGTGGTCGCTACTTCCGTAAATTATTACGAATTTATCTTATCATCGTAGAGGCACGCGAATGTTGATTTGCAACAAAAAAAAAAAAAATATTCTTGCTGCGTAACAGCTCGTTCTTACCTTTATTTCAGTTGCGTATTTAAAGGATTTCAAATATCGAATAACATTGTAAAGTGTATATTTACGATGACGTTTCTGTTTTATCAATTGAATATTTTTCATAATGTTCTTATATACGTATACAATCAATTGTTTGAGGAAATAATAGTCTTTAAGTCATCTTACGACTGTTTCTATGCGTAATCTAGGTTATGTAGATAATCGCCTCTATGTGATATTCTGTTAACACTGACGCCCGTTGTCACGTACCCGTAATTTCGTTAATCAGTTCGTTGACCAATGAAAATGCGCCTTTGCATCGCTAGTTTCAGATGATATATAAAAATGATTTCAGGTTGCGAATTTGACATTCGTATGTCTACATGCGTATACGTATCATCTGCTTTTGTTGCTCAAGTGGCCCAATTAAAAATACAAGATTATGCGATAAAAGTGAAGTAATAATAACTTTAATGCTTCTTTATCCACGATATGCGCCGGCGATAATAAAAAATCGGCAAGAAAAATATGACGTCGAAATATTAATATATAGATTTTGTAGTTTAGTAGAAGCCAGGCAAAATATTGACTGTTCCTATTTGACCTACCTCACTGTGAACAGAAACATTAGAACCGCAGTGTGTTGACTGCGAATGAAATGTTCAGTGACATTGTTCGGACTACTTTGAACATTGAATTGAAAGATGCAATACATTAATTTTACTATTCTTAATTCTCCATATAATTCAATATCTCAAATATACCAATATATCCACTGTTCCAAATTTTTTTGGTATTTCATATGTATATTCCAAATATTTAAATATTCTAATTATCTTAGTACCTTTAGCATTTAAGTATTTCAGTTTCTAATATTTCGATGTCGTAGTATGCTGAGATCTTCAATATTTTAATGATTAAATGTTCTAACTCAAGCATTACCTAGTAGGTTAATAGCATTTCGAGATTCGAAGGACGTATGCAAAGCTTGCATAATCCGGATACGTCGCAAGCGATGCTTCAGTGATAAACAGTGCGTTGGCCGACACGATTGACGATGAACTAGGTCAATAGGACAGAATACCTGTTTGCAAACTTGCAGTGCCAATAAACAATCGCAGTATTTAATGATTTGTTTACGAAGTCTTCTTCTTCCCAAATAAACATTTAATATACACTATGTTGTAATTTTAATAACTACGTTCAAAACTGCTCTATCCATACCCAACAAAACAAAAATTTCCAACTGTAGATGCATATAAAATATTCAGGGTCGTTTCAACCTAAACTTTTTTCCAAATCTATTTTCTGCGTTTTACTTGTGCGTATATGACTTCACTTGTATGCAACGCGATGTAAACACGAATTTACATAACCCTATATGAAAAACATTGATCACGTGAAATAAGTAATTATAGTCAAACCTGTTTTAAAAGATATCGGACAAAGCAGAAACTAAGAATCAAGAGATGCGTAGAAACTCAAAGAGGGAATTCAAGCGAAGAATACCTCCACCATACGGACAAAAATGGTACTCCATTGAAAGTGCGAGACAACCTTCTATTTTTAATCGAACAACCGTGCAAGTTTAACAATCACACGAACACAGTTTTTTCTAGTTATTTATGAGTAATAAGAGAAATAAACATACATTACATAATAAATACAACAAAAATACATGTAAAAAGATTATATATGAAATTGTATGTAAAATTATACTTGATAGTTGCAATTTAGTGCAGATTATGCTTAATAGTCACAACTGGTCAAAATGATTACAACGAGCAAATTCTTTTTATCAGTTAATAGTGAGTAAATTGTCTTTATTAAACATCTTGCAGTTGTGAAATAATGTAATAGCCATGAGCTTAAGAGATATTGAGATAGAAAAATGATCTAGAAAGAACCTCAGGAAGACATGTTTCTTTTACATATTTCTTGTCACACACAACAATGATGTAAGTACGAATGAGTTGTAATTACTCTAGCAGCAAATGTTTAAAGGTCATTGGTAATTGAATGCAATTGTAGTCAGGCAAAATAGGCTTTGAAAGACAATTGGGGTTAATAGATCATCTGCCTATTAAAGAAAAAGTATAGAAAAAATAAAAATATAACTGTAATACAAGATATAGAACATTCGATTTTTTGAGAATCGTATGCAACAAGTTCTATCATCAAATCAAGTTTTCTATCGCAAATCTTCTATCGTTCTGGATTTAAAATTATATAGAATATAATATTTTTTTTTAATTCTGCGAACAATATGATTTTATTTATTAGAATAACAAAATTCTAAATTCTATTCAATAGTAAAATTCTTTTTCTTTTTAAGAAATTAATTCGATCCGAATTTTTTCATTATTATCCTTGTAAAAGTGAGACTAATGCAACATGGTGTCCAAAAAATAAAATATCAGCTTTAAATTTATGAGGTCTCGGGTTGCAGTTACTCTAACTGACGAAAAATGAGGTCACTAGTACAAGCAGCCGGCGAAAAATCGTCTGTTGAACGACTACGTGACCAGGCACACGTTTTCGACCCACTAAAAGGGAAGAAGCTTGAAAAAGAAAAAGAAAGAATCTTATGGGTGACCAGTCACGTCAAACGTAAAGCGTAAGTGAGCCATGTCTCCTTTCTTATCTAATGCATTTGAATCACTTTTCCTTCTCGAAACATTCCTCTTAATATTACTGGCCTTCTGAAGTATATTATTGTATACTGTAAATGTGTAATAGCACCCCTGCAGAGAAATCAGTGTTCTCGACAATAAACTATGGGTTAAAGTTCAACTTTCTGGGGATAAGCATTATCTGCTCATTAATCAGACCACGCAGATTTTTCAGTTAATTGCAATTAAGCACTATAGTCTTTAAACATTAAAACAAGAAGTATCACTTAATACATTCATGATACTATCAATTTTAAACAATTTTCATTCAGATTACCAACTTTTCATTATGCGAGCACTTGCGGAGTTAACTAACGATAAGAACCATAGCAGAGATGCTTCAAGAAATTCCAAACATAGATATATAAGGATTTCCTTGATCGTACGATATGTAAATTATCAGTGGCGTACAATTGAATGTTATACCAGGTTACCACACTGAAAAAGATCAGAAGCGGTGAAGATTAGAACCAGTTATTTGCGACCAGTCCATTCAACCAGATAACGGCGAATGACGCGCGACGTGACCCCACTGAGGTTCTTATCAGTGGCCGCCTTGATTGTTCTGCGGGAGAAGAGGCGGACAAGGCGATCCTAACGCATTATGCCTGACCGGACGATGCTTTGACTAGATCTTTGTAGATCTATTTTTGTACTTCGCTATTCGACCATTCTATTCAACAAATTTCTTTCTTCTTTTGTTTTGAATTTTGTTTCCTTCATTGAGTTTATATCCTTCATCTTTTTTAACAGACATTAAAAACGACCTTTGATTTATTGATAAACAATTAACAATGGTGAAAATAGCAAAAGTTTTAATTTAAACAATATTACGTATTTAAAAAGTCTTCCATAAGACAATTTTTTTCAATAGTTTTACTCATTCATAGTTTAATTCCATATCTATTTTTCATTAAATTATATCACCATTCATATGCATTATTTAGTGCATAACATACATATTCACACATTTATAGTGTCATTTTCCACTCACTTTTCTTGTTCCTTCACTTAAAATATATTATGCGTTGCTTAGAGAATGATCCGCGGAAGGAATGTGAGTCGGACTACTAATACAAACATTAAAAAAAAAAAAAGAAAAAAAAAAACAGAACACACGTGGTTTCTTTACTGGTCGAAATATCAGTGCATATCAAGGCCAACGTATCTGTAAGGACGGAGGGAATTAGCCGGTGCAAATGGCATACTCCTCTTGCCTTTATGTCGTCTCACGAATCATCTTCTGAGCAACGCATAGTATGTCACATCACAATAGTTGCTAAAATCAATCATATCAAAATCAAGCTGCGCAGAGCTTGTGAAAAATATGTGTATAATTAATAAAAATAGAAATGTAACAATAGACTTACCAGCGCAGAATGCAGAGAACACATGTACCAGAGCGGTATCTGGGGGAAAAATCGCGTTGAAGGTGACTTTACTTTTCGAGTAGGCGCAGAAGTAAATTGCCCTGGACGGTGCAACCCCTATGAGATTAGGACCCAATCCTTTGAACAGGGCACGCATACCCTCATTCTGAACGATATATCTGATACATTGGTATACACCAGGCGCGGAGTGACTGTGAGGAGACCCTCCTGAAGAAGCGGATGCGCCAAAGTGGGAGAAAGCAATTAAAGCATGCCTGAAATAAGCATTGTGAACTTTCAGGAATTATTATATAAACATAATAAATTTTTATCGTATTATTAATTTACTATTTCATTGATGTTTGGATATTCACCAGCAACTTTTTTTTACTTTTATCATTGTAAAGAACTACAAAATACTGTAATCGATTTCAAAATAGAATTTGTCCAGAAATAAAGAAATAAATTTTGAACCTTGAACGAGAATTTTAAAATATCAGAGAAAACTATATGATAGAAAAAGATTTAAAAACTTGAATAATTACGATAAGAATAGGAAATTGATTTAAGGGTATTAGAATTTTAAATGCTTGCACTCTCACCACGATTTCTAAAATCGACAACGCAATGCAAACATTTCGTTGAGAATTTATTTTTAACTAGGTATGTCACGAAAGTAGGAATTAGTTGAGCACCAGCATTGGGCTATATCAGACGAGTTCGAAACACATTCACACGCTTCGTAAAATTAGTCTGTATACTTTATCTTCGTAATGTCACATTTATTGAAGGATTCAACGCGTTTTGACGAAATAAATAGGATTTTATACATGATTAGTATTAACAGAGTTCATAGTTAGTACTTAATACGGAAAGGAAATAACAAGACAAAACAATATACGATTTATAAAAATAACGATAAATCAATTACTGGAAAGAAATCAATGTTACAAATATTGTTTTAGTGCTTTTTATTATCAAAACTGGTTCAAACCTTAATACTGATATAAATCTTATCGATTTTTTTACGTAACCTTAAAAAAAATTTCAATTGTTTATAGTAACATGATTAATGAAATATATTTATTAATGAAATAACACAAATTACCTTGTATAACCTCCAGTACATAACCTCCTCCTTTGTTCCGGTTTTGGGAAACTTTTACACGTGACATGACCAGAAGTAAGTTCCTTGTTTATCGGAGGTGGATAGAAACCGGAGGATGAGGATTGTAGACGCGTTTTGACCACTTCTAAAGGACAGGTAACTATAGCACCAGTTGTTCCAGCCACTCTGTAAAATACAGAATGCACCGAATGTAAAAAACTTCTAGAAAAAGTATCGATACTCCATGTCCTCTCTCACTCGAATGAGAAACAGATCTATTTTATATTCAAGGAAATGAAGTCGATAATGTATTTGCATAATTAATATTCCAATTTTTTGAACTAAAAAATAAACTACATTATAATATTTCTATTCCTTCTCTACTTTTAATAGAAGGCGAAATAGTCTATTTAACTAAAAAATTATATCTTCCTCGTGCATTATTTGATATATGTGACACTATAATACTAATATTAATGTATAATGACAAATTATATTCTAGAATTATCGATGCAGTTTATCACTAGAATATTAATATACACGTAAGTTAATAACTCGAATAATAAACAAACCGTATGTCACATATCTTTCTGAGATACAAAAATAGCTTTCAACGGATAATTGAACTTGGTTTCGACAAAATCTAATCGATTCATATATGCTTCAGAAACGACGAAGAAAGTCGTATATATATTCGTTGTGAAAACATGTATCTCTTGTTGGAAAGCCGGTTAGAGTACATATTATACAATGTACGATTCATTAATTTGATCCATAAAAGAATCAATGATATACACTGATATCTGTAAGGTCGACACAGTCGTGAAAAATTCTTGCTGACATGAGCCGAAAATACAACACGGTTTCTAAATTGGGACGATCAATTACGCATATGTAACATATATACGAAAGCTGCGAGGGTGACGTAACAGCGCGGGCCGGCGACAATGTCGCAGTATTTAAGATTATAAAATATCCTACATATTTCATCATATTTTATACCAATTTATTAGAAAATATATTTCTATGATATAATTTTCTAATGAATTTCAAGCATTGCGCATTTCTTAATGAATCATTTGGATGTTACAATCGAAACAGCCGGCGCTAATTTACAATGCACATTTCTAATTTCCATCTTTTTATCGAACACAAATATTAAAATTATAGAATTTAATATAACATATAGAGAAATGGGACACCCACCCTCCAGCAACGAGGTGTATCGCGGTATCGCGATTAAACATTCTTCCACTCGATTCTGTCACTCTTGGATCATGAACTTTAAGAAAAGACAGAACGGAAAGAACACTAACAGATTCACACGCGTGAAACGTAAAAAACTGTGTTTAACGGTAGTAATTTATTATGCCGATAGTATAATTCGATTCTTGTTTCAATAATTGACTTGAAAAAGCACGAAGAATAACACCGCCACCACCACGTTTAAAACCTCAACAACAACTGATCGCATTGATCGCAACAAACGTGCAGCACGTCGTATACCATAGAGTAATTTGAGACTAGAGAGGTCGCGGGTATCGAAAGTTTTGACGATCGATGCAATATCGAGATTGATATTGTGAAAATTCGAATATATTTAAAAATTTGTTAACTACATTTAAAAAATTATAAAACATCTGGAAGGAAATTAAGAGGAAAGAAAAATAAAAAATTGGGAAAATTTTTATATACTAGAGTAGTATAGATTTTAATATATTTTTATATTAAATATAATACTATATCATATGTTAAATTAAATCTAATTACATTAAAAAAGTAAAAATGGCTTAGGAATTTGAAAAAAATACTTCCCAGAATTATATACTGCAGAGTATTTCAGAAATATCTATAGTATCATCTTCCTTTTCTCTTTTAATGGCTAAATGCATGGCTCGTAAAAATCGAGTCAAAGTACATTTTTTTGTTCTTAAATAGAAAGCATGAGCTAAGAACGGTATTTTTCTTAAAATTCGACCACTGAAACCCAAACTCTCCTGACTAAGGTCCATTAATTTAAGACTGTTTTTTGTCTTAAATGTTTCTTCATAGCCTAACTTTTTTAAGTAAGATAAATCATAAATTTCTTCTGGTTCCATTAATTCTGCCTGAAATAAATAAATTTAAATAATATATTTTATAAAATATAAAAAGAAATATATTTATTCACCTTCATTAATTCTTTAAGGCATGAAGTATAAATTTTGTATATAGCTTGATTTGTAGGATGTCCAATATATTGTTTTATGTCTGCTCTATCAACAAATGCTAAATCAATAGCTTCTGATAAATTACTAGTTGTTAGAATTAAAACATTTGGGTATTGTTTTATTTGGTCCAACTGCGTTAGTAATGCATTCACAACTCTTATAGAATCAGTGGGTTCTGTTCCATTATTACAAAACTTCCGAGTGTGTGCAACAGATTCTACCTCATCAATCAAGATACAAACTAATGCATCTGAATTTTCCACAAGAGATTTTATTTCACTGAACAATTTCATAACTAACTTACCACTCTATAAATAATTTTACTTTTAATTTTACTATTAATTAAATAAAGCAATTTTTTAAATATTTCACAAATACCTCTGAAAACCATTTTGAAAATAAACTGTGACTGTTTATTTCAACAAATTCACTATGAGAGAATCTTTTGCCCAAACGAATACTAATTTTTTGAGCAAGAGCTTTGCATAAACTAGTTTTTCCTGTACCTGGTGGTCCATGTAATAGTACTACTTTGTTCCAACTTATGATGTTAGTATTAATATTATGGTCTGCAAATATCATTGCTGTTTCCACAAAATGAAGTAACTGAAGAAAAATAAACAAATTTTTAGACCTCATAAAAATTAAAATAACTATAAAAAATTAAATATACTCAACTAACATCATTTTTTATAGTAGAATCAAAGTAAAGGCTCTCCCATAAATAATGAAATTCTTTTGTTGGCAATATCCAATGGGAAGAGACTGGAAGATCTTCCCCGTTATTTTCCATTGTTTCTGTAGCTGCAGTTTCAGTTGTTAACCTATATACATAAAACTTCAGAGTAGCACTTTGTACTTTCATGTGACTCCTCTGTAACAATATTTATATTAATAACAACTTTTATGCAATTAAATTTACTTTTCAATTATTACCTCTCTATGACTAGAAGTACATATTATAGATTCAATATGAATCTGTAGGATACGATTTGATTGATCCTTTGCATATAGAACAGTGTCTAATGCAATCTCTTCTAATGCATTTATTTCAGCATATACTAAATTCTCAATCTTTTCTGTGGAGAGTGTGCTAAAAATCAAATATTATGATTTATAATACACTTGTTAAACATTAGGATTATGATATAAAATTATTCTAAACTGATTAAAGAAAGGCTTGAATTAACATTCTGTTGTAATATTATCAAAAAATGTTCAACAAATATCTCCACTATAAGATGAGGATAAATAATTAATTATAAAAGAAAAAATACAATTTCTAGTTAACAAAAGTGGTACCTGTTGACGTTCTGACAGATTTCCACGTGTAAAACGTCTGATCCTTCCATCCTATTTCAATTCTTTGCACCTTAAAACAATTTTGAAGCTTTAAAAATACGTTTCAAGTTTTTCTTGTATCAATATAATGTCAACTCTAAAAAAAATACGAAATTGCATACACAACATTCAAGAATTTAAATTACAATTTGAAACTGACTACGTAGATAATTCCAACTGATTGTAAGATACAGATAGCAATAAAAAATAGGAAGAGAGAAAGAGAGGAAAAAATTTAAAGCTGATTTCCAACAAATAAAAATTCAATGTAAAGTTCACATCGTATGTCTAAATCAGTGTTAGATCACTATCTATATTATAAAAGATCTATGGTATAATATTGGACGCTATAGTAATTCGTATTTTTATAAATCGACAACGGTCAAACATTTTACGATCGACGGTTTAAAACACATGGGTTTGAAATGTAGTGGATGACGATCGAGTGTGCTGATCGTTCAACAATTAATAAGTGAAGTAGTTTACTGTTAATTAATTATCAAACGGTAAATTGTTGGTCAGATTTTAATGAAATGAGCAAAGCAACGGATGATGATGAACGCAGAAAACGCTCTTTGGAAGCAGGCAGGGAAATGGTAGATCTTTCTTTCATAATTATCTATTTCTTTTGATATTAAGTCTCACGTAACTATTAACTATTTATAACTTAACTATATATTATCTACGATGTAAATTTCTTTAATATAGTAGACTTGAAAACCAAACAGAATATTAAAACAAATTTTTATTTTTTTAATAAACATTTATATTTAAATTCAATGTTCTCTATAGTATACAGTTTGGGTTTTGTTTAGTTGGAACGATACAAGGCAGGAAAAGCTAGTAAAGTTCAAGGTGTAGGTCATAGTCAAATGGATGAAATATCTGATGAAGAATCTTTCCATAATGACAAATCTATTGGACATAGAGAATCTTATGTAAGAATAAAAACTTAAATAAGTTTATCTTACTATTTATAAGGTTTAAAATGTTGATCTTGTGGATTATAGGCACATGAAGGAGTTTCTTCGAGAGATGTGACACAAAGCAGCGTCAGTATGAGTGAAGGAGAAGCAGATGGGGATTTAGAGGGGCTTGCAGGGAGAGTGGCTCAGTTAGAAGAATTGCTCCAGGGGAAGGAAGCCATAGTGGAAGCTTTAAATGCAGAGATAGATCACTTAAGAGCAGAAGCATCATCACCAAATTCTTCCCAAAGCCAAAACAGTAGTATACACAGTAAAGATGTCATATCTTTATATCACATAAAAGTATGTTCATATTTTTATTTCTGGACACAGTATATGGAGATAGTCATATATTATATTTTGTTAAATAGTTGCAAGAGTTTGAGAAAGCAGTGAATCAAAGGGATAACCTAATAGAAGATCTAACATGGTCTCTGCAGCATGTTTTGTCTGTTAGAGACAATCTTGCTAGTCAGTTAAACGCCTTGAATGCTATGGAAGAACCTTGTAAAGATAATACTAGTGCTATGACCATTAAGAGCTTACAAGAAAAGGTAAAAATAATATTTTTTATATAAGAAGCCAATTGAAAAGATTTTTATTAGGAAATTGATGGTTTTTAGATTGATACTTTAGAGAACACTTTAAGTGATCAAAGATCAATAATACAAAAATTAAATAACCAGTTGACTCAAAACCAGGAACATATACAGACACTTGAAATGGAAAAAGAAATTAGAACTGCTGAAATTAATGATTATAAGTTGCAAATTAAAAACTTAAATGAACAAATCCGTTTAAGTGTTGCTGACAAAAATTTAAATATTGCCGAGACTTTAGAGCAACAAAAACAAAGTGTAGATAAGATAAAACAAGATATGCAACATATATTAAAAAAATTTACATCTGAAACACATATAAATACTGTACGTCATCAACAAGAATTAAAAGATCTAACTGCAAAACATGAAATCGAGATAATGAATATTCAAGAAAAGTATGAAGAACGTTTAAAGCAATTTAAGGACGAAAATAAGATTTTGGCTGATCGTTTAAACAAAGAATTACCAGATTTAGAAACCAGACATGCCAAAGAATTGTCTATATTTCAAACACAATTAGTTCACTATAAGAAAACTGTAGAGGCTTTAAAACTTGAAATAATGAATTGTTCCGAGTCTCAGCAAGTCGCCCAGGCTGAGTTAAATGAATATAAATCAAAGTTGAATGAGTTTAAAGTGCAATCGGAAAAGGCTAAACACATTCAAAATTTAGACCATCAAAGGGAGAAAGAGATGTTAAGTGAACAGATCAAGCTGCATAAGCTCCAATTGGAAGAAATTACTTCGAAGTATATTGCGACGACTGCAGTTCTAGAATCAAAGGAGAGCATTGAACGTTCCTTAGAACAGGCCTTAACAAATGCTGCTACATTAAAGGAAGAGAATGAAGATTTAAAGTTTAAACTCGACGATTTGTCGTCAAGATACTCTGCAGCGCAATCGTTGATAGAAAATAGTCAATCACATGAAAGAACTTTGAGTAATAAAATCTATGATTTAGAGAAGTCTTTGTCTAGATTTAGTGGCATAAATGTGAGTACTTTGAGTGAGTTGAATGAGACTACATATCAGACTTTGGATGAAGTGGCAATTCAATATCAATTAACAAAGCAAAAACTTGAAGAGAAAGCAGAATTCGAGAAACGTTTGGTCCAAAAGATTGAGAATCTTGAAGAGGATGTTCGTAAGTCAAAAGAAGAATTGGAACAAGCAAATCTCACAAAAAAATCATGTGAGAAACAACTTAAAGACATGAAAAATATCTGTGACAAATATAAAACTGAGCTGAGTTCCTTGAAAAAGAATGACTTAAAAGACCAAAGTTCTCCACCATTAGAAGAGGAACACAAATTATCTAGTCAGAGTATGAATGATACTGTCAATGATTTGCTGCATAAAACTGAAGAAGATCAGCAGGAGATCAAGAAACTCAAGCTTATTCTTGAACAAAAAGAGGCAGAACTTACAGAGTCTATAAAGAAAATGTATGATCTAACGGAGAATCTGATGAAATCTGAAGAAGAGCGCGAACATTTGAGGAATGGATTCGCCACACTATGGGCTCAGTGTGCAGAGGAGTTAAATCAAACATCAGCTTTAAATGATAGTAAACTTGATATCTCTGTGCCATCATCTAGTTACAACAGTGCATTAATGAAACAATTTAAATTGGACAGAGTTTTCAATGATTCTGTAAATATTATACATGATCAAAGTATAGACATAAATAGAACTACTTGTGAAAAAAATGAAGACATTGATAGTAGTAATAGAATATCATCACTGCAAGGAAAATTAACATTTGCATTGCAAGAAAATGAACAATTACTAAAAAAACTGCAACATTTTAAGGACCAACAGATAGATTATGAAGAAATCAAAAATAAATTGAAGCATTATACTAGTCTTTCAGAAAATCTTAGAATAGAAAAGGAAGATAAGATGGAAGAAAATAGAATTTTGAAGAAGAATTTGGAGAATATTCACTCACTGCAAGAATCTGTGAATCAATTAAGATCAGAGAAAGATTCTTTACGTAAAGAAATTGAAGCATTGATCTATGTTCATGATGAGCAAATAAGTGCTATAAAGGCTGAAACTGCATCCGAAATTAGAAAAGTACAATCGTTGATGTTAGGAGTGAAAGAAGGCACAACAGAGCTGAAGGATCTCAAAACTGAATTAGAAATGCGTCATGCAAAAGAAATGGAAGAATTGCGTATGTATTTTGAACAGAAATGTTTGTTGATGGAGAAACAATATTCTGAAGAAATATTTAGTCAGCAATCAAAAAAAATGTCAGACAATGATAGTGAAATTGCTGACCTAACTGAAGGCTTATACTTTGGAGGTGCTGGGGATTGTTTAAACGTTTCAATTATGTCTGAGCACAGTTCAAGGCATGGTTCTCCAATAGGAGATGATCAATCTAGACATGCTAACCAGAATTTTAACAGTTACACTAAATCTGAAATAGAATATGAAATAAATATTAAAGCTTTGCAAGAAGAATTGCAGAACAAAATAATAGAAATACAAGAAATCAAATTACATTATGAGAAAATTTTGGAAGAGCAGAAGAATATATATGAAAGAGAACTGTATAATAATAAAACTAAAGAAAGTTGTAAATTGCAGAGAAATATGGTAAATCAGGTAAGCAAGATATTTAAATATTTTCGTGTACTTCTTACTTGTGTAATTAATGCACTTTGTTTATGTTACCTTTTGTGTTAAATGGTGACTATTTTTTTCCTGCAATACAGCTGCTTTTTTCCTTTTGAATTATATGTATTACATGCTATTAAATATAAAGTTCTTTTGTTCACTTTGCTATATATAGTAGATTGCACTTCAAATTTGGAATGTTTTATTTTAATTTAAAGTAATGTATTTTAGTACATAGATCTATAATAAATAAGGACAAAAACGCATGATTTTTCAATCTCTGAATGTAGTCTGTTTTTTTACATATTTTTGTTTTTGTAAAAAAATTGCCTTAAAAAGATATATTTTTCGTTGTGCCTTTTAGTTCAAAAAGCATTTTAAAATAGTTTCCAATTAGTAAAAATCATAGTCATGCATAAATCATGAATTGGAAAGCAAAGCTATCAGTCTGAACTAAATAGAATCAATGTTCAGTTTTCCTCGTAACTAACATGCTCTTGTGTGACTACATATGTGTGCATGCAGCATTGTCAAACAGAATGGGATGCGGGTGCGTTGGAAAACGGTGAATTAACGCAACTACGAGTGGCCTACAACCATCAGCTGGAAGAACAGATTGCGCTAGCTAAGTTGGATATTGTCAATGCGCTTCAAGAACAAATTCAGGTAGCTTTAGACTTAGCTACCCCAATTTATGCCACATTAGCTTGCTAAAATTTAATCAAACATACTTAAAGTAAATTCAATTAAAACATTATTAAAACACACATTTCCAGTTTATCATTTTCATATTATTATAATTCAATGAATAGGCCCTTTTAATGGTTGAGTCAGATGTAGAAGACAATTGG